AAAAGAAAGAGAAGGATCAAAATTGTTCTGTATACCTTCAGATTGCCCTTGGTGGTGAACGCCTTCTGGCAGACGGTGCACCGGAACGGTTTGTCGCCCGTGTGGGTTCTCATATGGATCTGTAGCGCCGAGGACGAGGAGAAATTCTTATTGCAAATCTGGCACAAGTGTTTGCTCGGCACGCCTGCAAATACACACACACAGTTTTCTCTGAGCAGGCCGTGGACACAAGTGGGGCGGCGCGCGCGGCCGCAAGCTTCCCGACTAATGGACACAGGAGGGTACTGAAGACGGTGTTCCGATCGAGAACACGATCGTCCCTTGAGTCGGAAAAGCGGGGGCAGAGAGACGGAAGAAAAAAAGACGATAAAGAGATCGATTGTTCCCCTGGTTGTCGGCGGTGGTGGTGGTGTGCGTGTGGAAGAAGAATATAATATATATAGCGGTGTGTACAGAGAGAATAGATGGCAAGCAAGTGCAAACAAGCGAAGCCCGTTGACAAATTAACTGCCCTGTCTCGGCTACTAATCGTCATCGCAGATGCTGGAACCATGAGCTGATCTGTTAGCGGAAAATAGTTTAGTTTTGCCAAGCGGCGAAAAGCCTTGGACTGGACGGATTGTGCTCGATGAAAAAGCGATATGTTGGACCCTGCCGCTGAGGGGCGGCTAGCGTCCTTACTTACTGGCTGGTCTCTTTGGCGCTGGCAGCTCTCCTTCGGACGGGGATCTCTTCACCGCGATCGTCTGCTCTATCGATGTTGGCGGCATCGGCGGTGGTGGAGGCGGAGGCGGCGGAGGCGGAGGCAGGCTAACGTCCTCCGCGCACATAGGACTCCTCGAGCTCTCGTGCTCCGGCGGCTGCTGCTGCTGAAGTTGCTGCTTCGAGTCGCTGAACAGATGCGGTGGCATATCACGGATTTTGTGGGTCAGCATGTGCTGCTTCATGTTACCCTGCGGATCAGAATATTATTTTTAAGGCGAACGTTCTTACGAACTGTTTGATTGGATCGCTCGGTCCAGATTACACCACACTGAATAGTTTCTGATGGTCGAAGTCCTTTCATATGATTACACAGGAACTCGCTAGTATTTAGATATTTATCAGTTCGCGTTTTGTCGGAAGAGATATTGACGGTGGTAACCGCCCGACAGCGATTTCTATCAAGACACGTAGAAGATAATTGTGATTATATATGTGATGTGTGAAAGCTAAAAGAAGTAGGAACCATCGTTGTCGCCTCTGACAACACAGTGAATTGCAAGAATGGCAAGGAAAGGGACATCGAGAGAACACGAAAAAAAAAACAGTGTGAACGCTAGGGGGATGTTCCCAATTAGACTTTCAAACTTCTGTCATTCCATTGTTGAATTGTTATAATGAACAAAACTGTTGTAATCGAATAAAATCGGTATGCTGAATAGAAATGTGTTACTTGCTCCCTAAGTGTGTATCATTAAGAAAAAGGTGAAAAGAAATTCTACGGACAATTGTTTGATAATATTCAGTAATGTGGAATCCTTTAACACTTTGAACATTAGCGGTATCTGCACTTCGCGCGTTTCTGACCTAATTCTGATCTTGATCATTGAACAGAAGAAATATATAAAAATGATGCTTAATCGGGGTCGATTTAGTTGGCAAAGTGTTAAAAGATGCACAGTGGTGTTATCATTGGCATTTTTGTTTCGTTCTCAAAGCTTGAGCAGGCTCTTACCAGGAGGCTGTGCGCCGAGGGTAGAAGTCCGAGGGCGGGTGACATCAGCGGGGGTAGGCGGATGGCAGGATAGACAGGTGTCAGCCCCCGCCCCCCTCCGGCAGCTCTCCGCCCCCGGTTCTTCCGTTCCTCAGGCCGCCGCCGCCTGCGTTTCGGTTTCTCTCGATTACTGGCGCACGATGTTTGATATTGGGAATCGGGTGAAGTGATCGAACTATTATCGGGCAACGGTTGCGCTGTGCAGTTGCATGTTTGCTGACCGGAACCGTCATTCTGAAAGTATCGTAGAAAAACAAAGATAGAGAGAGGTCCGTCCAAAACACGATACGGATAAAGTTTTGTTGGGCGTGGTCACCGGTTTTCGATCCCGATGACATGGAGGATCGTTTGATCGATCCTTATCGCGCGAAGATTCGGCCATTATGTGCCTAACGTGTACTGAAATGTTTCACTCTAACAATAAACGATAGAATCCGAATGATTTCAATGGATCTCTAACTGCGTTCTTAAAACTTCGAAGGCAGTCTATTGTATTGTATAATTTTATAAGTTGTCAGCATTTTTTACAAACTTCTCTAAGCGATGTTTATAGAAGTGAATATATTTATTGTTTGGATACAAATAAAACTAATAGCTTTCGCAATTTATGATATATATACATATAAGAACGTTAATAAGTATTTTAATTTGAAATGATAGGTCTGAAGACATAAAGTTACGTGTACGTGATATAAGCTGGTAATGGTTGATTGACGGAGGTCACACCGACCAGATACCGATCGTCAATATGTTAAAAATAAGATAACACTGCGAGATTGTTTTGAAGGGATCGAACTTCAGGGATTTCTTGGTGAATGAAACAAATTATTGAGCGTTGCAATCAAATTGCATACGAAGTATAAAAAATCACTATTATATTTTTCCTTTTGGTATTGAAAAGATGTTATTTTTAAACAATGACACTGGATATACGCTATTGTTTTCGTAAATAAATCGATTTGGTAAGCGGTTTGATTTTTTTCCTTTGTTATTTTACGATGCCTGCTTTGCAAAAAGTAGTTACCATTTACATACTATTCTCTTGGCACGAATACGATTGTTATATACTTATAATGTAATGTGTATATACTTATTCACGATCAGAGATCTTTGAAAACAATAACAGTCAGACTCATAAAGTTCGTTGTCTTGATATTTTATGCTAATTTCATATTTACATAAACATAATTATCACTACGACCTGTACTGCCATTACTGATAATATTTTAAAAACTGGATTTTATATGTGCATAACGTCCATTCCATATCTTTGATCGTTTCAACATGAATACAAGCACGAACCCTGTTAATTTATGTTTCTCTCACCGATGTTTATATTCCAAACAAATAATAGTAAAAATTATCTATAATAAATCCAACCAAAGTGCTAAGTAGTTTTTAACGTTTAGTTTATATAATACGCCGAGGTTGATTGCAAATTAATTTTTAAAACCTATTGAATTGAATTTTATACGGACAAGATTGTTAAAAATATTCTTGCTGTCAACTCTCCTTTTACAATCGAAGGGAGAAATTAGGATTAATAATGTTCTTCACCATTGTTCGCCAACGTTTCACGTAGCTTTTCATCGAGCATAGAACGAGAAGCTAAAACGAGTTTCAACGTCGTTTAACGTCTTACTGAGAAAATGTGAAACCGCTCATCAGTACACCTAACAGATCGATTTTAAGAAAGTGTCTATTACCTTTGTGGAAAAGCCTCGGTCGCATATGGTGCATTTGAAAGGTCGCTCCTTCGTGTGGCTCCGGTAATGAATCTCCAGCGCGGAGTTGCACGCAAATGTCTTGTAGCAGATATTACATGTGGTGTTTCCACGCACTGTAACAGATCGTAGCTCTTTACAATTCGCTTCTCGACACTTCCTCGACGTGCTATGCTTACGAGAACAATTTATAACCGCGATTGTAATCGTCGAACCACCGGCAACGGGCGCGCGAAAGTAGGCTAATCTCGGCGCGAGAATAATCTCTCGGCGACAACAAAGACGATTTGTAACGCGAACATTCGCGACTCGAGCAACAATTGACTTTTTTGTTTTTATCATCTGCCCGATAAATCTATGCTTGTACAAACAATTCTTTCGTGAAAAAGAGGCTCCGAAGCTAACCGTTACGCTCGATCGTCCGACGGAAGGATTGAAATGAATAGTGAACGCAACAATCAACTTTTTGTAAAAAAGATTTTATTTATTCACCATGTGTCCACAGTTCTGACTTTCTTTTATGCAGACAGAGAAAGAAAAAAACTGGATAAATACAAAACTGATGGTCTCTATAATAATTTCCGGAATCAGAACGCAAAAGTGACTCGAACACAGACTAAAAAGGCAATGAGAGTGAGAATGAGAACCAGAGACACA